TTGGATTATAGCCTTTGTAAAAAAAGTTTTATAGTGAGTGGCCATTGGAAAAAATTAAAAATTCTATAGAAGTTAAAAACAAAATTCGAAAATTTTATTCCTGATAAAAGTCGCATTTTTATAGTACTTTCTCATTCATCAATTAGTTTTTCAAAAAATAAATAGTTTATTAAAAAACGATAGTTCCATACTTTCTGCTCACCTGGTATCTGTAAACTGTAGAATTTACTCTAAATTGAGAATTCGTATACAGGGTGTTTTATAAAATGTATAAAAAAACAACTACAGGACAAAGAAAAAGACTTAAAAGTAGAAAATAATTACTCAATTTTCAGTTTTAATTAAAATTTAAAATATTTTGCAAGACTTAACTCTACTAAAACTCGTTTAAAAACACTACACAGGGGCTTTATTTCATCCAATTTCATGTGCTTAAGGAATTTTTTGATATTCTGTGGTAAATTAAGTTCAAAAAGCCTCTTTGTAGTACGTTTTTTTCAGTGAATTAAATGTTTTCTTAACTTGTTATATTTATTTAGGAAATTTATTTTGAGTGTTGATAAAAAATGCTTCAGAGATTAATTCCAGTCTGAAAAAATAAATATGTTGACACACATTATACGTAGTACTAGAAAAAGCAAGGAATTTCACTTTCAGCTTAAGTGAACTCGGCAAACATTTTATTTACCTACTTTTGAGTTTTTAAAAGTTAAGAGGACTATTTTTACTGTTTGATAGTAGCTTTTACGATGGGCCCTAAAACTGTCGCCAGATCGGCTTAATTTCAATTTATTAATTAACCCCATTTGTTTACCGAGATTATGTTTATCTTTATAACTAATATTTACGTCATAGAACCCAACAAGCTCAAAATCAATCCACTTAACTAAACAGATGGAAATTGAAGCGAATTGTTTGATAATATACTCGTACTTCCATTGTCGAGAGGAATCGAAAAAGATTGAATTAGCAAACTATGTTTTCCAGTAATTAATTTCAATTATTACTCACATTCCACATTGCTAATCCAATTAGTAATTATTTTTGATTAGAGTTAATTAATCGTAATTGTGGTGCAGATTGTTTTTAACTCCGATTGAAAAGGAGAATCTTGCTGACGTCACCTTGATGACGTCAAAAATGAGGGCCACAGGAGCCCGATAATCCTGTGACCTATTTTCCCCGGATCCAGGCCACTAGGAGTGAAATAAATAGAAGTGTGTCCTTGAACAGGATAATGGCGGAGTTGTTTACCGGGAGCGAATTTATAAGGGCTGTTTGCATTTTACAATTAGTTTTTTTTGGTTTTATTCGTTCTTGATAAAAAAGCACTTTCGTATTCGGCGATAGATTTTACTTTTTCAGTCGTGTTGAGGGCAAAAGAGGATTGATTTTTGTGCTTTTAACCGTTTAAGCACAAAATTAATTGTTCTTTTTAATTGTGCAATAAAAATCCATTTTTTCATTAAAATATTCAAAATGAGGATGAAAAAGTGTGCTTGTAGTGTGGTAAACTTAACAATAATAATCAAGAAGAAAATATTTAGGAGATGTTCAACTGTTAATCATATATTACAATTCCAAAAATACTGTGATATCCAACGCCGTATCTATTTATATGTCCCCTTTTTAGATATATAGAGTTGGAACGACGCAGCTTGCACATATCGTTGATGTCGGTGCTTCAATACGCTTTAATTTAAGCCAGAATTGATTTAAATTGACTTGATTATAAGCTTATAAGAGAAGATATTTCTAATTATAATTGAAGGTTTCACCTGCCTAACACATGACAAATTTTTATCAAATAAATAGAATAAATTGGCACAAAAACAAAAAATATTTAGTTTTTTTTAATTATATCACAGTGTTATATTATTTATGTGCATAAAAATCTATGTTGATATCTTTGTTTTGATGCAAGTGGCAGGTGGAATCAGCCAATTAGGATAATTGGTCCGAAACAAAAAAATGGAATTAATAAACCACTTGATCAATTTATAAGCTGCCGCGGAAATTGTTTATTGGTTTTCTTTGCATCAAGTACCTCACATTTACGCTATTAATAGGCCAATAAAAGTCAATTTATCTTGATTTACTGCACATAAAACTTGTTTTATTTAAAAAATGCTTTGTTTTGTAAACAGAAATAGGGGTGACATCCTTTAAAAGATTAAAATAAGTGGGACGTAAGTATCCTCTCTTGACTCCAAGAGGACATTTTTCTTTCATTATTTTTTCTTAATGCAAGAAAATGGTAATAAGTTTCTTATAAACAGATTTTCGCAAATAATTCTCTCAGTTTTCACATTAAATTTGCCTATTCTTATTTATGTACCGGGTGACTATTAATATTTGTGCCAAAAAAGTTTATTGGCAACACTGGTTTAATTTGTTATATCTGAAATGAATGGCAATTGCCTATAAAAGTTTGACGTTTGAATTTGACAGTCAAGGTTACCAATCTAGGATTTTAAATTTAACGCCAACTTCGAATTCTACCTTTCAGTTACTTTGAAATTCACATTTTTATTTAGATTATTTTGTTTTTATTTATTTTTTACGTTTATTTTGCTATTTTTTCTCAACAAAATTAAAAAATTGTTTGGTGTTCTGTATTTCTTGTGGGTGTTCGCATTTTACGGCCGTGATAATGTTTTTATGTATCTCGATATTTATGTACAGTGCCTCTATAACAACTTCTTATCGCTGCAATTAATGTTCTTGTGATGTTCTCGCTAGCAGAGTTTCCGATATGAAAATTTTCCTGGAGTTTAGAACGTGCCGTTACTTTATCGTAGTGAATTTACGTAGACGGTGTTCATTACCTGTCTGTAATTATTTTAACATCACTGTTTATTTCCAGCCAATCATTAAACTGGAAGCTATTATCATAAAATATAAATATTTGAATTAGAATTTCGAAATTGTTTCGTACGTGGTGTGCCGTGTGTTAATTTCGTTATTAAAGCATGTTGTGTAATGTGTTTTCATTGCTATTGTCGAGCGTTTTCAAAAGGTTTAAATAATTTAGTATTAGGATTGACGTCACGGTACTCAGTCGTAGTAAGACATGGGAATTTCTCAACACCACTATAAAAAATTGATTTTCTTTATATTTACATCGATCAAAGTCGTAATTAAACTCTACAGTTTCGGTTAACTTAAAACTCTAAAACTTTGGGTTTGTCAAAAACTCAAAAAAGTGTTTGCAAGAAAAATACAATGCTTTTAATTTTTATATGTACCGAAGAGTGAAATAAGTCAACTTAAAACACTAAATGCTATTTATCAAAAAAATATGCATCAAAAAAGCTGAATTTATTTCAAACTGTCCGGTAAAGCTGGAGTCTGATATAGCTTAAAAGCCGATAAATGTGACCAAGCAACATTATTACTTTTAGTGCAAAAATAGTGTAATAAGTATTTTGTTTAGATGTATGTAATGAGGAAAAACTGTTTATCGGATTCCGGAAAAACTTATTTTACTTGAGAATAGCAATTAGACTCATTTTTTCTATTATCGTAATTGTGCTTAAATAGAAGAATAAATCTAACATTTTGAAAAAACTGATTGCTAATGAATTTGTTTTTCTTAGGAGTCTAAAAAAAGTTTTTCCATCCTAATTTCAGAAAAGAATGTAGCTAGTGACCTCCCAGGAAGGTAAAAATTTTACCTCTCTGGGAGATAAAAATTTTCCTCCCTCTTTTGTCAAAACTACAATAAAAATATATGTAACCTCTCCGGGAGGTAAAAATTTTACCTCCCCCATAGAAACGGAAAACCATGCTGCTAGATGTAATGGCGAAACTGTGGTATCAAAAGAAATCGTTAGTTTTAAAGTTTTTTTGCTGGATCGTATCAAAATCATATGTATTACACTGGAGAAAATTAACTTTTCCTCCCTGGGTGGTTCCACCAGTGGGAGGAAAAGATACACATTCTTCCCTTGTAATACAAATAACATTATTTTCTAATCTTAATAAAAACAAAAGTATACAAAGAAATTAGGTAGTTGAAAATAGTAACATAACAATCAAAAACATAAAGGTAAACCGTTAAAATTTAACTAATTTAAGAGACAACAAAAACAAAAAAGCGTATTAAAAATATACCTCAAACATAAAAAAAAAAATAAAAAAAAAATTATAATTAATTAATTATTGTCTTTATTTTGTACTCAAGGTTAAAGACTGCTTTTATCACTTAATTTTAGTAGATAAAGTAGTCTTTTATCGTCTAGTGAAATAAAGTAATTTTTATTCTACTGTTTATATTTTTTATTAACTAATTTCAGTAGTTAAAGTAGTCTATTATCGTCAAGTGAAATAAAGTAATTTTTATCTACTGTTTATATTCAAGAAATTCTGGTAGGTGAGTATAAAATAAAACGAGATATTATACACGACGATAAATATTGTTTATTTACTCGTGAAAAAAGTCCACTTGTGACTTCGTCACTCGTAAACTTAACCTTTTCACTCGTAGATAAACAATTTCTTTAACTATTATTGTGTACCCAATGTTGAAGAGTGCTTTTATCAACTTATTTCATTAGATAAAGTACTCTCTTATCGTCTAGTGAAATAAAGTAATTTTATCTACTGTTTATAATTAACAAATTCTGATAGGTGAGTACAGAATAAAACGAAATATTAGGTATACACGACGATAAAGATTGTTTATCTACTCGTGAAAAAAGTCCACTCGTGACGTCGTCACTCGTAAACTTAACCTTTTCACTCACAGATAAACTATTTCTTTATCGTTTTGTTTAATAAATAACTATAGTTTTGGTAGGAAAAGATATGTTTTTGCTAAATGAATTTTTTGTTTATATTAATTTTAAAGCCAAGGGGTTTTTATTCATATTTAAATTTAAGGATTATGGGACAGATGACGTATATTTACGTGACACATAAATTTTAAGTTCTATATTCAGACCAGGATTTTATTTTTTAACATCACTTGTTTACTTTTCCAAATTTACTTTATATAAATTTTTTATCAAAGAAAATAGTTTTATCGAGCACAACAAATAATTATTGAAAAATGCACTCAGTTAAATCAGTTGTGATTCAGAAAAATGGTTCATTTATTGTGTGGGGGTTACTGTTTCAGAAAACTAAATGGGGGTCATAACAAATTTTCAGAGGATTGGAATAAATGCGTTTTTAGTACTATCTGTGTAAAAATTACCTCATTACTGTTCAATGTAACTTAAAAGTATTTAGGTAAATTATGCAAAATAAAAGTAAGACATTCATTTTACCATCCAAGGAATGGTATTTGTGCTTCTTTGCGAAACTCAGGATTCAAAAATGGAGAAACGTTATGACCTTGAGATAATCTTGGCGCATAATTCAACGTGTTTGAAATTTATCTCGAATAAAATAGTTAACGTCGAGTAGCGTAGCAAACAAACAAACAAATTTTAATCATTCATAATTGTTTTATTATGATTGTCTTGAACGATCTATGTTTGAAAAATAAAAACTTGACTTACTCTTCGGACCTCTGGGACATATTGTCCTTATCCTTGTGAGCCTGCCCGCTGCTGCAAGAATTCCCCATGATGACTCCTTCAATTCACACCCTTCTCATAATAAATCAAATCGACGCCTCCACCATTGCAAATAACCACAATTTTTGCCATTTGCCGCAAAATCGCCATTCGCGTCACTCGAAAACATCCAAAAATTTCCAAAAATTTATCGCTTTCGGAGACTTCATCGCGATTAGGTTTTGAAAATCGGCTCAGTTTTCCAATAAGGATCAATTTTTGGAGACGGCGTACTCGACGTTACAATTCGAAGGTGATTTTCTACACATTTACACACTACACGGACATAAATAAATAGTAGTATTTGAAAGCGCTCGACTGCATGTCTGCCTTGATGTATGTCACACACACAGTGGGCAATAATCAATGCTTGGAGCGGCGGAATCATCAAGCAAGCGCGTCGTCGTGACGTCAACCGACGCTCCACTGCTCACGGAAAGGCGTCGCGACGCCGACAAGGAACACCAGCGGCGCTGCCAGCCGAACGATCAAGCAGAGCACTGCAGCCCTGATTTACAGAAGATTTTATTCTACAAGTGCCACAACCTGAAAAACTTCTGTAATGCAAGAAATCGAAGTTTCAGATTTCAGTAAAAGAAAACTACGCAACACTTTCCCAATCCTCAGAATTGCAATATAATAATTAAATACTTGTACAATTTTTTTAAACTGTATTTTTTGTAAATTAGAAATTAAAAAAATATACAGGTGCTCCGTTTTTATTGTTACAAACTTAAACAGGTGATAGAATATTCAATTTTGAGGCAAAAGTTTCCTATAACTGAAAGGGGTGCGTTTTCAATGTTTCTCAATATTTCAAAATAGATAAAATTACAAAATTTGGTGCAGCTGATAACTTTTTTACACCTAAACGAATTAAAAGATCAAATTGGTATCGAAATATTTAATCAGGGGTGTCCTAAACTGGAGGGGTATAGGGTTAAAAAAATTATTTTAAATTTTAATGCTGTTTATGGTATGTTGTATCGAAAAAACACAAAAGATCACTTTTTGTGAGAAACTGTGGAATTTAGGATTTTAATTAGGATAATAATAGTTATTTATTATACAAGACGATAAAGAAATTGTTTATCTACGAGTGAAAAAGTTAAGTTTAAGAATGACGAAGTCACGAGTCGATTTTTTTCACGAGTAAATAAACAATCTTTATCGTCGTGTATAATATTTCGTTTTATTTTGTACTCACCTACCAGAATTTCTTAAATAGTATAAACAGTAGATAAAAATTACTTTATTTCACTAGACGGTAAAAGACTACTTTATCTTCTGAAATTAGTTCTCTTTAATATTGAGTACAAAATAAATTAATTAATTAATTTGATCGTTTTCCAAATTTTTTTTTTGTAATTTCTTTTAAAAAAATTTAAACCAAACGGAACAGCATGTATGTATCGTAAATACCGAATTTTTTTTGATTTTTTCTGATTTCTTTGCTTTCTCAAAATTTTCTTTAATTTTTTCTAATTTTTTAAATATTTCCTGCAGATTTCTCATACAAAGTGGACAAAAAGTACAATCAAGCGTTTTTTTGCATAAACAAATTACTTTTCAAAATAAATAATAAATTTATCAATTAATTAATCTGATAGTTTTCCAAAAAAATTTTTTTTCGAAATTTCTTTGTTCTAGTTTTGCAAAATTTTTAATTATTTTAAATGACAACTCACTTTAAAATCTATTCATACAAAGGATGTGATCTAAGGATTACAACTACATATCTAGATTTTATTCAGTTTTTATCGAAAAACTTTTACCATTAGTCATCAATACTCTGATGAAATTTGTCTGATTCAGTTATTATGACCTAAACCACGATTTCAGTACTTGTTTTGTCAAAATATGTCAATTTAAAACAATTTTTTGAACTAAAGCGACGGTTTTTAGTCAAAAATCTCTCGATTTGAGTCGACTTTTGGTTCCAAAACGTGCTGAATCCCTCAAAAATGACAAAATGTACTATTATTATTTCTGACTTATTATTTCCAGATTTTTTAATGTAATTTTATTTTGCACAAGTATGAGTAGGTATAAATAATAAAAAAATAGCATATAGTATTTATTTCGATTTGTATCGTACACATCATTTATAAATATAATATACAAACAAAATAACAATATAAATCTCTAGTACATAAATAATAAAAATTGTGTTGTACAGTACCGACTATAAATAATAATGCAATAACGCAGTGTTGTTGTCTACATTATGACATATCAATCATTCATTTTACTTATCCTTAGTTGCGATAAAAAAATAAATAAATCTCGTTTCAGTACAGTGACATAAAGTCCATATAATTACACAATTTCTATCTAAATAAGAAAATGATTTATCTCAAAATAACATTCTCGAAAAAATCTTTGCCTTCTCTCGACGAGGAATGCCGTTTGAAAGGAATCCATCCTAATCTTTTACTATTTTTGTGTTGTGCCATCGACCCTGAGGGACTAGACATGCCGCTGGACACCCCCGAACTGCTACTATGCGTCGAAATGGAGCCTTTTGTCGACTTTGTTGGCTATAAATAATCATTAAGTTAAAAAAGAACTCACGAAACGGCACTTATACCAACTTTAAGATAATTCCTGTCCATTGGAGTGACCAGCTTGAGACTTAAAGAATCTCCGGCATTTTTGATAAGAGCCACGACTTCATCATGCGAGGACCATTTAACATCTTTATCGCTAATTGCCACGATGAAGTCACCCTCTTTGACACCGCCGAACTGTCAACACATCAATAAAAAAACAAAACTTTGAATATTTTCCCCTACCTCTGCGAGAGAATTCGCTTCAACAATAGCCACAATGACAGGAGCGTCGCCTCTGACTGAAAACCCGAAGCCTTCAGAGGTCCTCCCGCGGTGCAGCTGGACTAGTCTAGGGGCCGTCCAATGCCTTTTCGCCGAAAAAATCGCAATGGGGCCCAGGGCCCGAAAAAGGTCGTTGACTCGGTACTGGGCGAAGTCGGGGGGTGTCAGCGCCAGTTGAAATTTTGTCGCGGCTACAAACAACTTCAAAAAAAGCTTTTACAAGTTTTTGTAGCGTACCTTGCACTCGAGGTGGGTCCAAAACGTCGCTGAAGTCGTCCTCATTCTCATGGTTGGTGTAAGTCTGAAGGGCGGTTTTGTGGGCGTTTCGCAGAACCGCGGTGAGGGCCTGCTTGCCTCGCAACTCGCGACACATCCGGTGCAACCGCTGGCACTCCTCGTGCAACACCAAGGACTCCCTTAGGTGCGCCCGACCTGCAAAAATTAACAGTTTCTCTAACTAAATGGTTTCGGAGGAACTAGTGGATGTTAATTTTTATCATAATTTTTATCGTTCATTTGACAAATTAGTGCAGTTTTTCGAAATAGAATACAGTGTTGGCAGATAAAAAACAAAAATTCACCAGATCCCAGCTGAAAAATCGGCAAATTTTCACCAGATTACGATTTGTATTGTATGGCTATATTTCGCAAAAAACGCAATTTTCAGCTTAAAAATCAGCCTAAACTCTTAAAAAAGCAAAAATGATATGCATTCGCTTTAATTCTGTGATTTTTCGGGTTGTTTTCAACAAAATTTTGTGAAATAATTGCGTTTCTAATTTTAAAACGTGTTAAAATGCTCGAAAAACTAAAAAATGATGTAATTCTAGACTTAGTTTCTTGATTTGCATTTTTTGACATACATTTATTTCGACTTACCTAATTCTGTGATTTTTCGGGTTGTTTTCAACAAAATTTTGTGAAATAATTGCGTTTCTAATTTTAAAACGTGCGAAAATGCTCGAAAAACTAAAAAATAATGTAATTCTAGACTTAATTTCTTGATTTGCATTTCTTGACTTGCATTTCGGCTTAATTATGTGATTTTTCTAGTTGTTTTCAACAAAATTTGGGAAACAATTGTGTTTCTAATTTTAAAACGTGCTAAAATGCTCGAAAAACGCAAAAATAATGTAGTTCTAGACTTAATTTCTTGTTTTGCATTTCTTGACTTGCATTTCGGCTTAATTCTGTGATTTTTCGCATTGTTTTCAATAAAATTTTGTGAAATAATTGCGTTTCTAATTTTAAAACGTGCTACAATGCTCGAAAAACGCATTTTTTTAGTTTGTTTTAGCAAAGTCTAGTAAAAAGAACTTAAAATTTTAGTCCAAAAACGCGTTTAAAAGCATTAACGGCCAAATTTTGTGGTTTCTCAGCTTATTTTTGTCTTAATCAATATCAATACTTTTTGTGATTTTTGTCGTGTTTGGACAAGATTTTGAAAAATAAATAAACCTCTGGTTTAAAAGCGAAGTAAGTCGGACAAAACAAGCCTGTTTCATTGCAATATTTCAAACTTTTTGTGTTTTTATCTCTCAAAACATGCTTAAACACTTGAATAAAGCCAAAAAACGCCGATTTTTGGGCTATTTTGTTGAATTTGTGGCTTGTTTTAACAAAATTTTGCAAAATAATTGTGTTTTTAGCGGAAAAAGTATTCGAAAAAAACGTAGACTCTGTTCAATAATATCTTCTAAAATAACAAATAACCTCGAGAAGATTTGACGAAATGAGCCTTAGAGTTAGGTAAAAATATCATAATGTAATCTTTTTTATAACAATTTAGTGATTTTTGACATGCTATGGGCAAACTCTCGCGAAAAAAAAACAGAGTTTTCAGCTTAAAAATCTGCTTGAACTTTCGAAAAAGGAAAAATTTTCGGTCTAACTCTGTGGTTTTTTGGCTTGTTTTTAAACAGCTTTGCAAAATAATTGCGTTTCTAGTTGAAAAACGTACAAAACTCTCAAGAAATGTAATTTTCGACTTAATATGTTGATTCTTCAGTTCGTTTTAGCGAAATCTGAGATATTTAGTACAAAAGCGCGCTTAAAAACGCTTATTTTTGTCTTGTTTTACACAAAAACCAGTTAAATCGAGTGAAACAAACAAAACAACACCAATATCAATTGTTGTGGTGATTTTTAAGCGTGTTTGGAAAAGATTTTGCAAAATAAATGAGCCTCTAGTTCAAAAACGAAGTAAGTCGAGCAAAACAAGCTAATAATAATATAAAATTTGATTCGCCGTTTTTGATCGAGTTAGTTAAATTTTTGGATTGTTTTTAACGAAATTTTGCGAAATATCTGAAAAAGTATTCGAAAAAGATAAAAATAAATCTTGTGAATAACAAAGAGAACTATTTTTAACCAATTTGGTGGTTGTTCGATATTTTTGAAAAAAATTGACGAAATAATCAAGTTTCTGGTTGACAACGTGGACAATGCTCGAAAAACAATTTTTTTCATTTTCAAAAAATCACCAGATACTAGAATTTTTACAAGTGTTTACTAGACTAACATGAAAATCACCAGATCTGCTAAAGTTTCACCAAACCTGGCAACACTGGTAGAATATGTGGTAGCAATTTTTCGCAATATTGAGAAAGCCCCCCTTATACATAAAATTTTTCGGTTTATTTCTGACTCTTTTTTGGGCGTAAAAGTGATTTTCGGGGCGTACCTAAAAGTCTTCTTTCCGCGTCGTCTTTCGGTAACCTGATGTCGAGTTGTGTGGAGGCCGTTTCCGCGTGCAAGAACTGGAGGGTAGCTTTGGTGGTGGGCGACATTTTTGCCGCTTCTTTGTGAAGGACGCCGGAAGCAACATGGTAATGGGCCATGCCGGTGTAGTATTCTTTTTTTACTTGGACCAAAGAGATCCAACTGTAAGGGACGTAATCGTGGACGGATTCGGTCATTATGAGTTGGTAGACTTGGCTGTAACAGTCGGCCAGATGGGCGGCTTCTTGGGCAAGGTCGAGGCAGATGTCGATCGAGCGGTTTTCTTTTGATTGCAGGTCGAGCTTCTCGAGGAGGCATTCGCGAGCTTGGGCCTGTAATGCGGAAAACATGCTCTTGTCAACATTTTGAAAAAACTGAAACTATTCATATACAAGCTACTCAAAAGAATCATTTTTTGTCATATCAAAAAAATCTGAAATTTGTAAAAAATAATTAAAATAAATATAAAATCAGTATATCGTAACAAGTATTTTTTATTTTAAATCCAAATGATCAATCGTGTGTCTTTTTGTATTTTTGAGTAAAAGAAGTTTGCTTTCTGGTAATCATTTTGGCAATTTCTCATCACAGATTCTTTTTATATTGTTTTTTATATCTTATTTTTTTACGTTTTTTACTATTTTTATATTTGTGTAGGTTTTGCCTTTTTTGTGTCTTTTTGAGTAAAAGAAGTTTATTTTCTGGTAATCTTCTTGGCAATTTTTGGGTTTCAGTTTATTTTTATATTATTTTTTGTATCTCTATATTATTTTTCTATTTCAAAGTTAAATAACTTTCTGTTGGTTTTTTACACTTGAAAACTTAAGCAAAAAACTATACTTTTTTTTCAAAATGAATGATCAAACAATAAATGTATCAAATCTGCCAGCATAGTCGGGTTAATATACATATTGTGAACACTCTTTATGGCTAGTAGTATGTAATAACCATGTTAGTACATAAATTGCACCGAACTATTAAAATGTGATGTCTGTTTCAAAGACGTCACTTTAAGTCTATTCTTGTCGCCATCAGTCTGTCTTTGTTGCACATTTTAGGCAATTTTGGACGCTCTAAACAGGAAAAAAGGCAAAACTCGGAATTGAGATGAGACCTACGAGTGACGAAATAAAACCTTGAAAAACATCACGAATGGTGATTAACATTTCGAAAATATAGCCCCCACTCTCCCTGACAATTGAACAAAAACAAAAAAAAAAGTGTGAAATGCTTTCGACTCTCCTTATAAAATACAAGGTGCGCCAGAACTCGCGCCCAAGAGAAAATTTTCAAGTAAGGTATCAGGAACATGAAAAAAATGTTGACATTTATTTTTTGACATTTGACATTTTTTATATATATTTAATGATATTGATGATTTTGTATATGTTTTTTTACAATTATTTAGTAAAGGGACAAAAATTTTGACAATAAAAGCCACAAATAACATTGAACAGAGTTACAATTTAGGATACAGCTTCCTTGTTTCCTCTTTTAATAGCCTATAGCAAAAAAACTTAGAAAATTATTTTTCCAACAGAAATAAATAGAGTCAAAGTGCAAACTTTAAACCCTCATAACTTCGAAATTTTTATAGATAAAATTTTTGTAACATTTTTTCCATGTTCCTGGTATCTTACCTTATATGGCATTTTTCTCTGGGGCGCGAGTTCTGGCGCACCCTGTATATCGTTTAAAAAGAATAAAAATTTGCGATTTGTAATTACTGAGGATACTAATTGATTAGCATTAGATTTTGAACTGTCTTTGCTTCTTAGCAGAGGTTTGTTCACAATTTTAACAATAGTTACAAATACCATATTAAACGAAATATGTAAACTCGTAAACAACCTCGTAAATAAGTATAACAACTAACTCTTTACAGACCCGTGTTCCAAGGATATTTCACTTTTTTGTACATTCCTAACTATTTTTATTATCTACTTATTTATTTTCGTAGTTATCTTTTCAAAAAAAAATTGTTAAAAGCCAAAAACTAAAATAATACAATTTTTGCGGACGAACCGTTTCTGTTTTCCTGAATACCGAATGAGTTCGTAAAAACTTTTAAGTATCTACGTGTTAGCTCCCAAAAACACATTCAAACCTTTTAATTATTATGTATGAATGATTAATTTCTCAAAAAAATAGTGGCTAAAAATAAAAAATAGGACCTAAAATTGTTATTATAATATTATATCTAAAATAGGTAACAATTTCATGTACTATTTAATTGAATCCGAAAAAAACTTATTTTTGAAACTTAAATGTGAGTCTGTAAAATACCGATTTTGGTAGCGTATACAAAACTAGTAGATTATATCACTAGGAATAGAAGTGAAGCCCAGAGATTGAAGGCCGAGTGAAACGAGGCTATTTTGCTTTTTTTTATTAAATAATTCATAATTCATTGGTAAATAAATCTTGATTTCACCGTGTAAAAGGCTTCTAATGAATAGTTGATTTGGACGAGCCGCCCCTGTGGACATTTCAACTCCTAGGAGTTGAAGTATTTTAACTTAGGTTACCAAAAAAATCACTTCAACCGTTTTTATAGAGATACACAAAGGCGCAATTTTCGACCACTTGAAGTATTTTGTTATATATATAAAAAAAACTGTGTTTGCATTGTAATTTTAAATTCAAAATATAACCACAATCAGGACTTTCAAACTAAAATGCCAATAAATTATTGTAAAACCTTTTTTCATTAAAGGCAAATCATGAGATAAAAAAATTTCTGCTCTTTATTTCTAGGCCAATGAATTTTTATGGTAAATGTGTAGAAAATTTTATTCTTATTAAAGTTTAAAAAATGCAAGAATTTTTAGGTTTTACATTTAGCATCTTGTCACCTACAACTGTTTTAAAATTGCGTCGTCAGTTTCAGTTTTTCATTTTTTTAGCCTAATTATCAAAAGAGTAAATTCTTATTTTGAAATATTATTAATGATCAATTTCACTAATCTCAAAATTCAATATTTACTAATATTAATGGTGGAAACCTGACGAATCCACGGGGAATTATCTCAAGAATTGACGCGTGACGGACCCCCATCGTCGCCCAAAGCACGCGTGTGTAATTATCATCGGCACAATGAAAACGTTTCGATAAAAAACAATAAAAAAGGCAATTTAAAACAAAACTTACCAGCATGAGTTGCACGAGCATTTCCAACATTTCCGGCCCCAAATCCATCGAAGGCGCATTAGTGAAATTTTCGTGAATATACCTAAACGTCCCCGCAGCCCTTAGAAAACTATCAACAGCAGCATCCAATCCCTTCGCCGTGGAGCGATCTTGTTTAGCACCAATTTGCGTATAAATCGCGCCCATATTGAACAAAACACACGCTTTTTCGAAAGCTACAGTCCTTTGACACGATGGCACACCGGTTAACGAATCGAACCACTCGAAATATATCCCTAGGGATCGATCGGGCGGAAAAAATCGTCTCTCCACGAAATATAACTGATTATAATAGCGAAACAGCAAGGAAATGCCGGCGGTGTCCCTCAGGGGTGTCCTTATGGCTTGTCGTGTGTCCATGAAGTCGGCTATGGCATCTTCGTATTGGTTGGCGTCTTCGCTGTAGTGCTCCAGGATGAAGTCCTTGAAGGGGTCCCGGAAGTCGATCTCTTTAGTTTCTTTGAGGCCGAGTGGGATCATGGGCATGACAGCATCGGTACTGCAAGAGAAAGAGAAAAACTATTTTAGTTGTGCAAAATAAAATTACGTTAAAAAATCGGGAAATAATAAATCAGAAATAGAAAAAATAGTACTTTTGCCATTTTTGAGCGATTCAGAACGTTTTGGAGCCAAAAGTCGACTCAAATCGAGAGATTTTTTAATAAAAACGTATAAAAACCGTCGTTTTAGTTCAAAAAATTAATTAAGTAAAATGAATGATTGATATGTCATAATGTGGACAACAACACTGCGTTATTGCATTATTATTTATAGTCGGTAATGTACAACATAATTTTTATTATTTATGTAGGTACTAGAGATTTATATTGTTATTTTGTTTGTATATTATATTTATAAGTGATGTGTACGATACAAATCGAAATATATACTATATGCTATTTGTTTATTATTTATACCTACTCATACTTGTGCAAAATAAAATTACATTAAAAAATCTGGAAATAATAAGTCAGAAATAATAATAATACATTTTGTAATTTTTGAGGGATTCAGCAAGTTTTGGAACCAAAAGTCGACTCAAATCGAGAGATTTTTGACTAAAAAAGCATAAAAACCGTCGCTTTAGTTCAAAAAATTGTTTTAAATTGACATATTTTGACAAAACAAGTTCTGAAATCGTGGTTTAGGTCATAATAACTGAATCAGACAAATTTCATCAGAGTATTGATAATGACTAATGGTAAAAGTTTTTCGATAAAAACTGAATAAATTTAAAAGAATTAAAAATTTTGCAAAACTAAAACTAAAAGAAATTTCGAAAAAAATATTTTTGGAAAACTATCAGATTCATAAATTGATTAATTTCAGGTGATAGAATTTTAGAAAAAAGTTTTCTCTAAACATAAACTACATAATTATGTAAGATCATCCCCAAAAAAAGAGTAATGGGTTTTTTAAATTCTTTTAAAAGAAATTACAAACAAAATATTTTTGGAAAACGATCAGATTAAGTAATTAATTTATTTATTTTGTACTCAATATTAAAGAGCGCTTTTACCAACTAATTTCATAAGATAAAGTAGTCTTTCATCGTCTAGTGAAATAAAATAATTTTTATCTACTGTTTATAATTTATCAATTAATTTCAGTAGATAAAGTAGTATTTTATCGTTTTGTGAAATAAAGTATTTTTTATCTGCTGTTTATATTTAAGAAATTCTGGTAGGTGAGTACAAAACGAAATATTATACACGACGATAAAGATTGTTTATCTACTCGTGAAAGAAGACCACTCGTGACTTCGTCACTCGTAAACTTAACCTTTTCACTCGTAGATAAACAATGTTGACAGAAAAACACCGCAAGTAAGTACAATGTTGTGGACAAAAATTAGATTCTTGCTACAAAAACTTTGAAGAAAAAGGATGTATATACAGAAAAAAGTTATTTAGCAAAAGATTCAAGTAGGTATTATGATGATTGGCAATAAATTTTGTGTAATTGATTAAAATGAGCTCAAAGTTGATGCATTTCATAAATTCTTCTTCAGTTTTAGTTTCAAAATTGTTACTTTTTCAACTCGTTCCTCAAAAAACGATGCACAAGACACAATTTAATTGCGTTCTTTCCGAGGTTCTTTCTCATTCATGTTTATTTTGTATTCTTGTCGATTTTTTGCTAAAAATTAAGAATATTTAGCAAACCTGCATTACAAATTGCGTCTACATTTTAACGGGCCCTTTTTCCAACTTCTTGCTTGCGAACTATTCGTTTCCAAATTTCGAAAAACTGTTAGTGTACCGAATTTGTTTCTTTTTTGGTGTTTCGTCTCTAAATTTTCTTAGACGATTTTTTGTGTTGACATTTTCAAATTAATTCAAGAAACCGGAACTGCCAACTTCCTTTATTAAAATTACCATGAACGAATTTACTAGTGATGGCAACGTTAAGACTGTTTGGTATTTCCACTTGAAAAAAAACAGACTTTAGATCGTGTGAAAAAAGCTGGAAAATTTAGCGTGGAACCAGTTTAAATTCGGAAAAGTGTGTCATGTGGTGAAAAGTCTTTTTGTTTTTGTTTGCGGAATGTCGAGGACGCGGCGGGTTGAGAGAACGGCCTCTTGTTTGTGGTTGTAGGTCGATCGGTGTGCTGTGCACCGGCTCTATTAACATATTTCTTCTCATCTTGCCTGGGGGTCTAGCTAGCCTGACCCACATCCGATCATCTCGCGTAACTGTTACCGACATCACATCGACACCGTACAATGGCACTCCTCATTATGTAAGTGTCGGTGTTGATGATGGCGCGGGTGAAAGAATCTCAATGATATTTAATAAGAAAAAAATATAATGAAGTCGTTGAAGAAGTAAATCGCTCAGCGGGGCTGTGCTATTACATAGAACTGGTCTGAATGGCATTAGACACAGTGATAAGTTACTTGTTTTCTTTAGATATGGTCAATTGAACGGAATCGTTGGGCACGAAGAGGTGTAGTTGAATGACTTATTAAAATAATGACACTGGTTGTAATCATTAAAAAACGTAAAAATGTTCTTTTGAAACAGTACTTGAAATAATGAGATATGGGTACTCGCATTGGAGACACTTTTTCACTGATATTTCATTAGACTAAATTTTGAAAAAAATATCATACAAAAATTGTTAAAGCAACTGAATATTGTGTAAAATTTTTCTGATAAGTTGTGAAACGTATTAAAGAATAATTTCTGATTAAATTGTTGTTTCTTCATTTCTTAAATAGAGATCATTTACGAGTATTATTCATGAAATATTAGCGAACCTATGTGTTACAGGGTGTTCGTTTTTCGAGCTCCACCATGAGTTATTATAAGAGATACGAGGTCGGTTAAATTAGGGCAAAATTGCGCATTTTTATGCTGAAAAACAATCTGAGAGAAAATTTAATGTGTCATTTATAGTTTTTGAATTATTGGTAAAAAACGGAAATTTGTAACTTTTGTTTTTATTTCTTCAAGCGAAAACTAAAAGACCCAGACGTTTTTAACTAGGAAATTTTTAAGGCACTTTTTCACAAGGAGTCTAAATGTGTTATCGTATTTTCCAAGGCGCTCTTGATATCAACAACACTCAACTTTGAATTTTGTTATGGACGCCATATTTGATTTCTGTATTTTTGAAAAGTATTTTTGTTCCTGATTACAACGATGTATCACACAATATGATCAATTTTACATGCTAATCAAAATTTAAAAAAAAGCGTTTTTGCGAAGAGTGCTTTGGAAAAAACACCAACAATTTTAATTAACAAACTAGATTTTGATAGTTCAGTTGACTTTGCATCTGGAAGTCACATTTCCGCCAAGCTTACCTTCTTAAAAACTAAGATTTTGAAATAGGAACAACGTGATAAACTAGAATTTATTCTTCCCAAAACAAATCAACAAAAAGTTATAAAAGATGCTCACCTTCAAAATTTAGTTTGTTAATTAAAATTGGTGGCATTTTTTCCAAAGCACTCTTAGCAAAAACGCTTATTCTTAATTTTGATCAGCATGTAAAATTTGATCATATCGTGTGATCAAATCATCGTTGTAATCAAAAACAAAGCTCGAAAAACGAACTCCCTGTATAGTTATTTATTATACAAGACGATAAAGATCGTGAAAAAAGTCCACTCGTGACTTCGTCACTCATAAACTTAACCTTTTCACTCGTAGATAAACAATCTTTATCCTCATGTATAATATTTCGTTTTATTTTGTACTCACCTACCAGAATTTCTTAAATATAAACAGTAGATAAAAATTACTTTATTTCTCTAGACGATAAAAGACTACTTTGTCTACTGAAATTAGTTAATCAAAGCACTCTTTAACATTGAGTACAAAATAAATGTAAATTTTTGTAAAAAGAATACATACAGGCTGAATAAAAAATATGAACCCAAGCGAGTTTTTTTTAAACTTTTGCTTACAGAAAATAATGATTAATAAAAATTAAAGTGCGTTTTTTGAGAATAAAATTTCGTTTATATGATATGATTTTTTTGTCAAAATGCATGTGAAATTTTTTTTTGATAAAAATTGAATATAAAGTAGATAACTTTAATCCTTAAATCGTAGCCTTTATGAAAAAAGTGGTTTTGTAGTAGGTTGCCATTTAAAAAAAAATAAAAATTGTGCAAAACAAACGAAAGAACATTTCGAGAAAATTTATTCTTGATAAAAAGTCCCATTTTTATAGTACTTTACTGATACATTAATTAGTTTTTTCAAACAATAAATAATTTAAGCAAAAAACGTTTGGTTCCATACTATTGAATCTATTCTATTTATGAGTCATCGTGAGTGATAATTTGGAAAAAATTTAGGTACTTTATTATTTTCCAAAAATTTATTTCTATCAAGAGTGCAAATGGTTCAATTTTAATTTTTTCAGTTTTTTCGATTTTTGTAGAAATTTTGGGCGATTTTCGGTACCCGGAGCGGTTTATTGCTTATAACTTCGGAATTATTAACGCTAGTTCTTTTTGTTTGGTACCGATGGAAAGCAAATTTAATTTTCTATTATAGTATAAAAAGAGATAATAAGAGATTGCCGATAAAACCAAAAATATCCAAAATATTAATTCAACTACATTATAACTTTTAAACCATCAAGAATTTTGCAGTTTTCTCAGCGCCAAGTGATTTCTCGGGACATTTTACACATCGATATTTCAAGACATTATAACGTTTGCTTTTGCCGCAATTTACAAAATAAGAAAAGTAAAAATTTGTGAAGCTTGTGAAGTTATGACAACATCGAAAATAATTGTATACAAAATTAGAATGTTTAATTTGGTTGTTTTAAAAAATATAATTTTAGTATTATTATTATTACCACTACAAAATAATTTTGCCTGACTTTGTTCTCGCTGCCCCACTGGTCGTAGAGCATTTTAACTTGTTGATGCATGCATTAGGTCAAAACGGTTTCTACAGACAAATTCTACGTGTAATTTTACATATTGTATCAGTTTTTAATAAGATATATATTTTTTTTATTTTTTAATTACAATCGTATATTTATTTGCTTATTATTAATATATGTATTACTTAATATCCCAAAAACTATTGATCGTAGAACATTTTAACCTGTAAAGCCAAAAATATCCAAAGTAAATACTCGACTATAATTTGTAAACTATTGCGACTTTTACAGTTTCATCGACGCCAATCAACTCCTCAGAACATTCTACATTGTATGGTTTTAAAACATTCACCATTTTAGATATACTCGCTAGACTTTTTTATCCAAAAAATATAGGAAAAGAAACATAATTTTTTTTTATTTTCACTTGAAATACCGGTTATCAACATAATTTATGCCAAAACAATTTTTACTTTTACTATAGAAAAACAATACGTACCAGAATTGATCAGATTACATAAAGTTTATAATTTTTTAGAGTTGTAGGTAACATTGTCCAAACTATTTAAACGAAGTATTGTTATTACAAAATGTTAAAAATTATTTAAAAAACCGTGAGTTTAATAATTAACTCCAAATCGCTCTTCACTTATTGGCATTTTGCTGGACTTAAAATTTCGTGTCTAATTAAGTGGAAGAAAGCATCGTCGTGACTAATTGCAACTTCTCTATAATTATTCGAGACTATTTTGACAGCAACATTAATGTAACAGCAAGCAGTTTTTAAACAATACTTAATTAAATTTCTAAATACAACTCAATACATATATGAATGTGAAGCGTTTATTCAAATTAAATTTACAAATTAGTTTTCCTGTGTGAATAGTCTGAAGTGTGTGGTCTTTCATTTCACAAAATCAGTAACACGACTCTACGGAAAAAGTAAATGTTTTTCGATGCAATTTGTTTTGGTTTACAAACTATTCATTCATAACAGTTCCGTTGATCCGAGTTCCCAAAACTGTAAAAATTTAAAATTGCTTCATTAGCTTGCGTGTTCGGCTTCCATTTTAGGAAGAGTATTGAAAAGGAATTCGGTCTTACAAATGCTTTTAACTTTTTTTAATCACACTTTTTGCATATCGATTTTCATGAATATGCAACGGTTTGTTAGAATTCATTAGATAAAATTATTAAAATTTTTGCTTTACCTGTCACTCTGATACAATTCCACCGACGAATTCAACTCAGCCAACTGCTCCTTCAGCAGCTGCAGATTGGAATTGACGAAACTGAGCTCCAAAGCCACCGTTTCCTTCAACTTCCGATTTGTCGTCGCTTTGAAGAGATTCTCCGCTCCTGCTCTCAGCCTCAACTCCTTGTTAATCTCCTGATTGAGCTTCGAACGGCGGTTTTGGAGCTTTCCACGACATGTTGCCACCCGGGGATCGGATCCCTGCAACACAATCAATAAATTATTTTACAAGAATGTGGGTAGAATTATTGTTGTAATGCGGGGCCTCAACCGCTTATTATCCATAAAAGACGTAATGAAATGCTCGGAGATGATGATGGAGCGTGACAACAGTCAAGAAAATAAACCGCACTACACGAGGAAGTTATTCTAGTTATGGTCGTAATTCTGAAAATTGCTACAATTTGTACGATTTTTCCGGAGGAAGTCGAACTAATCGTTTTTTCGGTAGTAGAACGCGATTTTACATTTATTTGGTTTGCTACGTCGACTGTTAAACGAAATATTGATTTTTTGGTGACAGTTATGATAGTTTGGTCACGGTAACTGTACCCGAGGCGTTTGGTAATTGTTACGCTAAACTTGTCATCGGCTAATCGCTGAACAAGCGCTTTTGAAACACTTAGGAATGCTAATCATGGCGCTAATATTGATTATAATTGTTCGACCTTTACTTCCTCAGCATTTAATCAAAATATTTGGCAAATATGAAATAAAAACAGATTCGTCTTGCATCTGAACTACTTTGAAAAGGCTATAAATTTACAGTCATGAATATTTGATTTTATTACAGTGAGAATCTCCAAGAGTCAAACATTCGAAGAATTATGTGGAAAATTTGCTGGGACCGTTAATCACTTTTTTCAAAAACAAACTTCGCCATCATTCATAAATTATTTTAATTAATCTAACATTTATTAGTTTTAGAATACACAAAAAAATTCTTAAAGCAACAACGGTACAAAAGATGAATGAATAAAAAAATTATAATAAAACAGAGGAGTGAATTAAATTACCACTTCGCATGCAGGGTGATGGCTGTGTTGATAGTTAAAGAGTTCTAAAAAACCAAATAAATAAACTTTTCAAAATCCATTACCTTATTTTTATGAACATGAGTTAAAATTAGTAAGAGTACAAGAAAAAGCGTAATTTACTCAAAAATTTTACTAAAAATAAGTTATTTCTTTTCAAATATCAGCACATAGCTACTGTTAAAATCAGCATCTGGACAAAAATTAATAATAATTTATGAAAAGCATTATTACGAGAAGTAAAGGTAAGCGATAAAACTTGACATGAAAGTAAAAAATATAGAATAGCTTTGAAAAAAAATGAGGATAGAGAGAATTATCAATTATAATTTTATTATCTGTTTGTTGTGATTTTTTTGCAAGTGCTAAAAGCTTATACAATTGAAATTTAATGAAAGGTTTATAATTTTCTTGTGGTAAATTTGACTTTCTACAGTTAATTCTTTTCTGAACAGCTTTGACCTTTTGTCTAGCATTTCCGGTGAAAAAGGGAGCGCTAACTTTTCATTTTCTTTTCTCAAAATTCCTTATTGAGAACTTCGGTTTTGCAATGCGAGGAAACAAATACCATTTTAAATCAATTAAGAGAAAGGAAATTAAAAAGGAAAAGTTCCGGAATTGAAGGAAAAACTAGTTTCCATTCAGATACGATTAATTTACATCATGAATGCCTGTTAATCCAAGGTTACTGGAATTGCATTACAACCAATTTACCGAAAATTCCAAGATCTAATCAATTCTGTGGTTTCAATTAGTAAATACTAAGAGTATCTAATGACTGTTTATTTTGTTCCCAACACATTATCAACATTGTTGGCATGTTTCGGAAACACTTTATAAATTATACATTCCTTATCACTATTGTCGACGCTATTGTGATCTCAAAGGGGATTTTCCAAATTGTTGCTATAATTTGCAACACAATCTATAAATTATTGGGACTCGTTGCAAATCGATTTTACTAGTCTGGACCCGGTCACGTTTACCTAAAGGGTCATGCACGGAGAAGTCACGATCTACAGTGTGACGAGTAGAAGTAATATGCGGGTGGACGTCCAAGACGAAATTGCTAATTTTATCGCAAGAAAACGCAATTTTAGATTTTTGTTGCACACAAAAGTAATTAAAATAGTAATTTTGCTTTACGCGATTTGTAATCAACTAAACATCTCGATTTGTTTGTGCAAGATAAGGAAAAGTTTAAAAGCGAGTTTTTGAACTAAATCACTTCTGACGTTCCATTTAGCACCTCTAAAAGCCTTTTCCCTTATTCGTAACGCCATTGAAACAAACATTCACACTTTTGCCAATTATATGACGCAAAATTTCAAAAAGTTTTGAAAACATTGCCATTTTTTTAATATTCAATATACCGAAAGTTAGAACCAATAAAATCTTTATTGTTTAAATGTACTTTTCCTGAGATCAAAAATTTTTTGTGGTTCATTTCTTGGTCCGCCTTTCCGGAATGATGACAAAACCTCCTCGGAAGGGCACTTGAAATTGTGTCTCTGCGCCCACTTTAGAAGAAAACGCAATTTTAGATTTTTGTTGCACACAAAAGTAATTAAAATAATAGTTTTGCTTTATGCTATTTGTAATCAACTAAACATAGCTAATTCACGATTTGTTTGTGCAAGATAAGGAAAAGTTTAAAAACGAGTTTTTGAACTAAATCACTTCTGAGGTTTCATTTAGCACCTCTAAAAGCCTTTTCCCTTATTCGTAACGCCATTGAAACAAACATTCACACTTTTGCCAATTATATGACGCAATATTTCAAAAAGTTTTGAAAACATTGCCATTTTTTTAAATATTCAATATAGCGAAAGTTAGAACCAATAAAATCTTTATTGTTTAAATGTACTTTTCCTGAGATTAAAAAATTTGCAATTTTTATGGTTCATTTCTTGGTCTGCCTTACCGGAATAATGACAAAATCCTCCTCGGCAGGGCACTTGAAATTGTGTCTCTGCGCCCACTTTAGAAGAAAGCGCAATTTTAGATTTTTGTTGCACACAAAAGTAATTAAAATAATAGTTTTGCTTTATGCCATTTGTAATCAACTTAACATAGCTAATTCACGATTTGTTTGTGCAAGATAAGGAAAAGTTTAAAAACGAGTTTTTGAACTAAATCACTTCTGACGTTCCATTTAGCACCTCTAGAAGCCTTTTCCCTTATTTGTAACGGCATTGAAACAAACATTCATACTTTTGCCAATTATGACGCAAAAATTAAAAAGTTTTGAAAACATTACCATTTTTTTTAATATTCAATATACCGAAAGTTAGAACCAATAAAATCTTTATTGGTATTAAATGTACTTTTCCTGAGATCAAAAATTTTGCAATTTTTGTGGTTCATTTCTTGGTCTGCCTTACCGGAATGATGACAAAATCCTCCTCGGCAGGGCACTTGAAATTGTGTCTCTGCACCCACTTTAGCATTTCGCACCCCGCACGTCACTGACCATAATTCCGCGATTTTTGCTAGAATAGCGTCGTCGTACGTGTTATCTCTCCGACAAATTGCAGATAAGTGACTTTAGTCACCGTTCGGATTCTAATACAGTCATTAAGCGTGTCGAGGCATTATTGTAAATACAATATTATAGTAAGGAGACCTATATATGAGCACAGTTGCAGTATAATCGTAACTGTAACCACGGATTATCATAGCAGGTCATAAAAATAACTCCCGAGTTTTGCGTGATGAATCAGATTGTTCCGGAGTTGACGGATCGGAAAAAAGTCGCGGAACTTGGATACAGTATGACCACGAGAATACCACTTGATCGACTACAACAAGTTATTTGTTTAGTTGCACATGTCGTTTCCTCAATTCAAATATCTGACTAGCGGTCGCTACGGTACTGCGGTATAATGAGGGAAGCATTTTTCTTTATCGATACCATTTCGCAAGGCTTTGATGAGCTCTGCATAATTAAGGTGCTGTTACTTAAGCGAATGTAAACATATGTCAGATGCGACTGCTGCTGGCCCAGTTCTGGCTAGAAAGTGTCCTCTGGGACCGTTACCACGTTTTTTCCAGCATTTGGAAATTTGTACCGATTTTGAAACGATTCATTCAGGACGGTAGGGTAGGTCAGATCTTGATTCAAGTGTCACCACACCGGAAAAGACCAAATATGTTGACATATCAAGCAAAAACGGTTTGTTTGCCTGAAGGCGAACCGAAGAAGAAAAAAGTGAGTTAGCTGTTCACGCATTCCTCACAATTTTTCAGCCTGTAAAGCATTCGCTTAATGTACTGTTCAATGGTGCATAAAATGTTTAATATATGGAAAGTAATTAGAATCATGTTGAAGTTTTTTTGTAGCACGTAATAGTTTCAAGAACAAAACACCAGGAAAGCTGGTTAATTTCGTCATGAGGACAATACCAAAAAATTCAAAACTTACGAAACAGAAAACTTTAAGGTTGCTTTGCGGTTTCTAAAATAAAATCAGATGATTCAGTATTTCGAGCTTTTCCCAATTAATTCAGTCTCTAAATGTGCGATGTGAAACAAGCGACTTTAATAATTGTTGGCTAATTGAAAATCTTTTTCGTAGCATTAGTCATGGGAAGTGTAGAGAGGCGGATCTAACTCTATTAAAAAATTAATTTTCTTTGGCATTGTATTCAAATTGTAAACAGTTGGAGGTATCACGTGGTTAATGTCGAGTTTTTTGTATACACAATTGTTGCCAATCAGCAGAGGAGAATGACAAGCGCGACTGATTTCGTTCGGCCTTGTCGCTTTCCAGATTTGACACCAATTGAAAACGTGTGGGATCTCAGTGGTATTCGGATTTAGCAGATTTTAAAAATTTTCACAGATATCTGTTTTTTCGAATACATTTAGTTCACATTTCTACTTTTCTACAGTTTTTCTTCAATAATCAACATTTTAAAAGAAACTCTCTCATTTGCTTCAAAACTTTTCTTCTATTCTTTTCTATAATTTTTGGAATTAATTTAATAGATCTTACTATTCTGCTTCTAAAACTTTGTAGAAGTTATTCTTCTTCTTCTTCTTCAAAATTTTTATAATTTCTTGTGCTAGCATTTCAGATTCGAATAGTTTATTATTCTTGTCATTCCTGTAGCTTTATTCATTTAGCATCATAATGACAAAAATGTATTAAAACAAATTAAAGAA